CTCACTGCACACCCACTGTGCACCAGCAACTCCATGTGTAGCTCCCAGGTATGAAGACAGGTTGAGAATGGCGAGGAAGCTTGCTAAAGACCAAGAGTGTCTTTCTCTTCCACCCTGCTGCCTCCAGGCAGTGTGAGGACGGTAGAGTGGGGGCAGGTGACCTGGGGGAAGCACCCAAGCCATGAGAATGAGCTGCAGAAAGGAATGTTTTGCTTTTCCTGAGTTACTGGAATTTGATCACAGGCCTTTGATGCTCAAGTCCTCTGCCCGGACAGGAACATTTTTAAAAAAAGGCCCAAAGGCCAGTTTTTTTGTCCCAGCCCCTCCCTACACAAGCTTGTCCACAGTCTGACGCTCTGGAAGAAATATATTCTCTGCTAAGGCTGTGGAAAGCACGCATGCTTAACATGCTGGAGGCCCCGGTTACACCAAAAACAGCAGAATAACAACATAAAATCCAAATAAAATGTGGAGTTCAGTTAATAGTGGCATGCTGGTGTCTTGTTTCCTCTTTGCGTCAAATCTGTCATCACAAACTGTAGGGTAATAGCAGAGAGGGTGGCTGGGTGGTGGTGGTGCACACCTTTAATCTCAGCATTCAGGAGGCAGAGGCAGCCTGATCTCTGAGTTCGAGGCCAGCCTGGTCTACAAGAGCTAGTTCCAGGACAGCCAGGGTGGTTACACAGAGAAACCCTGTCTCAAAAAAACAAATAGTAGAGCGACTGAGTGAGGCATGGAAGGGGCTCTCTGTCCTGTCTTTGAAACTTACCTGGTCAAATACCGATATTCCAAAGTTGAAGGTTCATTTATGTTGTGGGGAAGAGAGATAGACAAACATCTCTAGCCTCGGCCAGAAGCTAATTGAGAAATTAAATGGTGCCAGTGAATAGCTAGTGGTTAGGTTCCATATCATTTGTGAGTACAGTGGTTCATTTGGCAAAACAAAGGAAACGAAAAGGCTAGGCATGTTTCATGGAATTTAAAAGGAAATGGGAGACCTATTTCTATCAACACGAAACGCTCTTAAATTTATGACTGATAGAAGAGAACAACTGGTTTGGGCTTGGTGGGTGCCATGGTAAGATTGGTAAGATTTGTGAGTAGTACAAACCTGGAACCAAGAAATTGTCTAATTGTTCATGCTACAAACCAGTCTGTTTATTTTTGGTTTTGCTGTTGTGAAAGCTGTTGTGTGGTTTTTGGGTTCTTTTTTTGTTTTGTTTTGTTTTGTTTTTGGTGGGGGGTGGTTTCGAAACAGGACTTTTCTGTATAATAGTCCTGACTGTCTTGGAGCCTGCTCGGTAGTCCAGGCTGGCCTTGAACTCACTGAGATCCCAATGCCTCTCCCTCCCAAGTGCTGGGATAACAGGTATGTGCCACCACGCTGATGTTATGTGTCTTGTTCTTTGTTTTGTTTTATTTTGAGACAGTCTCTAAACTGACTGGCCTGGAACTGCTATGTAAAACAGGCTAGCCTTGGAGTCGAAGACCTCTGTCCACTTCTGTTTTCTGAGTGCAGACCTTGGCTGCTTGCTTGCTTGCTTGTTTGAGACAGGGTCTCACTGTCTATCCTGAAACTCACAATGTAGACTAGACTGGCCTCAGATTTACAGAGATCTACCTGCCTTTGCCTTCTGAATGTTGGAATTAAAGGTATGAGCAACCATACCTAGCTATTGTGGTTTTCTTTTTTGAGTCAGGGCATAGCAGCCCTGGCTTTCTATCCTGGGTTTAAAGGAATGCACTGCCGCACCCAGCATGACTTCATGATCAGATTGCTGGGATCTGGTGACTAGCCTCTGTACAGAATTTCAGCACTAGAGGAGGCTGAGGCAAGAGGATTGCCTCAAATTTAAGGCTAGACTGTGCTACAGAGGGAGACCCTATTTCAAAACCAAATAAAATATGTTCCTTGGAGATTTGTGGCAATTGTAGTCTAGGAATTTTGTTTGTGTTTGTTTTCTCTGCCAGTTAAAGAATTAAAAAGCAGGGAAAGTAAGTACAACAGATAGCAGTAAAGAACTCTCCAAGCCTCCTCCATAGGACCTCCCCCATAGGGCCTCTTCCCTAGGGCCTCCTCCATAGGTCTCCTCCATAGGACCTCTATAGGACTACCTCCATAGGGCCTCCTCCATAGGACCTCCTCTATAGGACCTCCCCCATAGGGCCTCCATAGCGTCCCCTTCATAGGTCTCCTCCATAGGGCCCCCTCCATTAGACCTCCTCTATAAGGCCTCTGTAATGGTATATTATTTACATTTTAATAAATAAAAGCTTGACTGAAAATCAGAGTGCAAAGCTAACCATACTCGTCAGCCATAGAGGCCAAGCGATGGTGGTGCACACCTTTAATCTCAGCACTAAAGAAGAATATAAAACGGGAAGAGGCAGAAGCTTAGTCTCAGTCTGCAGCCTGAGGTTTGGTGGGGAGCATTGCTGTCTGCAGTCACATTGAGGACAGGATTGCCCCTTTATTTGTCTGAGCCTTGGTAGAGGTAAGAATTCTCTAGCGGCTTGGTTACTTTGCTTTTCCGCTCTTCAGCTAAAACCACAATATCTGTCTCTGGGTTTCTATTAGTCATGCTACAGACCTCCTCCATAAGGCCTACCCCCTATGGCCTTCTCCACAGGACCTACCCCCTATGGCCTTCTCCACAGGACCGGCTAAGGTGGAAAGCACTCTGGTTACCTCCTGACGTCCTAACAGATCAAGGTTAGGACAGGCATTCTGAGAGGCTAGCTAGCAGGGGAAGGAGGGAGTTGGGGTGGGGCTATTCTCCCAGTTTTTTTGTTTTTTTTGTGATGTAAACTTAAGTAACCTCGACTCCTGCAGAGTGGAGACCTCAAATAGTAGCCTAAACAATGCAAAGGATCAGTTGCTTTGCCACAGTTTCTGTGATTTCATGACTTTTTTCTTTTTAAGCTGTAAATCTGTATAATCTTTGTTATTATTTGTTTGTTTTGAGGCAGGGTTTCCCTGTGTAACAGTCCTGACTGTCCTGGGACTAGCTTTGTAGATCAGGCTGGCCTTGAATTCACATAGATCCCCTGCCTCTGCCTCCCAAGTGCTGGGGTTAAATGCGTGCACCACCACCTCCGGTCTGTATTTATTTTTTTAATCCAGACGGGAAGTAAACGTGGTAAGCACTCATGATTTCTCTTTCTTTCTTTTTTATTGATATTTATTGAGCTCTACATTTTTCTCTGCTTCTCTCCCTGCCTCTCTCCTCCCCCCTTCAACCTTCCCCCAGTGTCTCCATGTTCCCAGTTTACTCAGGAAATCTTGTCTTTTTCTACTTTCTACTTCCCATGTAGATTAGATCTACGTAAGTCTCTCTTAGTGTCCTCATTGTTGTCTAAATTCTCTGGATTATGGTTTGTAGGCTGGTTTTCTTTGCTTTATGTTTAAAAAGCATCTACTATTTTCTTAAACCGGTGGCTCTCAGCCTTCATAATTCTGGGACCTTTTAGTACAGTTCTTCATATTAGGTGACCCCAACCTTAAAATTATTTTTGCTTCTACTTCATAGCTGTAATCTTGATGCTGTTATGAATTATAATGTAAATAATCTGTGTTTTCCAATGGTCTTAGGTGACCCAAAGGTTGATAATCTCTTATTTAAACAGTACTATCTAAATTAGGAGAACCTTCTCTTAATTTATAATATGTGAATTGGGGTTAAGTCCCTGAAATCTAGAGTAGGAAACAGGAAACGAAACAGAACAAGAAGAAGAACATTTATGAGAACTCAGCAGGTGATTAAGTTGGGTCCTTTTTGTTAACCTCTGTTGCGATGACTCAGATGCTCAAAACTAAAACAAAGGTGAACATTAAGGGAAAAAACCAAGCCATCTTAGAGGCCTGGGGTTGCCTCCTTAGTCTAAAAAAAAAAAAAAAAAAAAAAAAGAGTGGTGGTCAGCAGAAGCCATAGCAGGACTTAGTGCCCTCAGTTTGCCATGTGGTTACATTAACCAAAGTGGTGGCCAGTTCCATGATTGCTTTGACCTTTTTCCCCTTAATTTTATATGCATTGATGCCTGCATGTATGTCTGTATGAGTGTGCCAGATCCCCCCTGGGACTGAAGTCACCTGAGTTGCCAGTGGGTACTGGGAATTGAACTTGGGTCCTCTGGAAAAGCAACCAGTACTCTTAACCACTGAGCCATCTCTCCAGCTCATGTTCACATGGTCTCCAGTAACCAGTTTAACTGACTTCCTAGGATACATAGATATTAGAGGTAGAAGGTCTGAGGGGAATCTTTCCTTGTTAGAAGAAAATCAAACCACAAGCCCATCCTAGGATGGGGGAAAGGTGCCAGCAGCTCAGCGGACACATCATTGTATCCTTTTAAGGTTTGACCTGATTTCTCACCTTGATGAGGTGGTCCTCAAATCCCGAGACAAGTCCCAAGAACTCCTAGTCTCTCATTTTTCTGTGAAAATGTACTGACAGGGTTTTGTTGGTTCTTACACACACACACACACACACACACACACACACACACACCCGACCCTCTACCCCTTGGAGCCTGCCACCCTCTAGGACAGCCTTTCCCCTGGTTCCATTTTGCTCTAGGAGCAAAGTCTAACCCTGGTGAGCAGCATGTAGCTTCAGGTGGAGGAGCAGTCTACAGAGAGATGTGATAGGGGTTTCAGGGGTGTGGAAGCAGGGGGCAGGTGTGTGTGCATATGTGTGTGTGTGTGTGTATGTGTGTGAGAGAGAGAAAATGACAGAGATAGGGTTTCTCTACATAGCCCTGGCTGTCCTGAAACTCACTATGTAGATATGTAGACCAGGCTGACCTCCACCTCTCAAGTGTTGGGATTAAAGGCATGTCACCACACCCGGGGCAGTGGACTTGAGGCTAGATGGAGGGGTGACAGTACAAGTCCAGGAGAGTCTCACAGGTGGCTGCAGCTAGGTCTCCCCCACATCCCCTTCGTAGGACAGGAGCCCAGGACAGCTGCACTGACATCTCCCTCTTTCTCTTTCCTGCAGGATGAAGATGAGACGCTACAAGCTCTTTCTCATGTTCTGTATGGCCGGCCTGTGCCTCATCTCCTTCCTACACTTCTTTAAGACCTTATCCTATGTCACCTTCCCCAGAGAACTGGCCTCCCTCAGCCCTAACCTGGTTTCCAGCTTCTTCTGGAACAATGCCCCTGTCACTCCCCAGGCCAGTCCGGAGCCGGGTGGCCCGGACCTGTTGCGAACCCCTCTCTACTCCCACTCCCCATTGCTCCAGCCACTGTCCCCCAGCAAGGCCACCGAGGAATTGCACCGGATGGACTTCGTGTTGTCGGAGGACACCACCGAGTATTTTGTGCGCACCAAAGCCGGTGGTGTGTGCTTCAAACCAGGTACCAAGATGCTGGAGAAACCTTCAGGGCGCACAGAGGAGAAGCCCGAGGTGGCAGAGGGCTCCTCAGCTAGGGGCCCTGGTCGGAGGCCCATGCGGCACGTGTTGAGTACACGAGAGCGCCTGGGTAGCCGGGGCACTAGGCGCAAGTGGGTTGAGTGTGTGTGCCTGCCAGGCTGGCACGGACCCAGCTGCGGGGTGCCCACCGTGGTGCAGTATTCCAACCTGCCCACCAAGGAGCGCCTGGTACCCAGGGAGGTGCCAAGGCGGGTTATCAACGCCATCAACATCAACCATGAGTTTGACCTGCTGGACGTGCGTTTCCATGAGTTGGGCGATGTGGTGGATGCCTTCGTGGTGTGCGAATCCAACTTCACCGCCTACGGGGAGCCGCGGCCGCTCAAGTTCCGAGAGATGCTGACCAATGGCACCTTCGAGTACATCCGCCACAAAGTGCTCTACGTCTTCCTGGACCACTTCCCACCTGGTGGCCGGCAGGATGGCTGGATTGCAGATGACTACCTGCGCACCTTCCTCACCCAGGATGGCGTCTCCCGCCTACGCAACTTACGGCCTGATGACGTCTTCATTATCGATGACGCAGACGAGATTCCCGCACGTGATGGTGTGCTGTTCCTCAAGCTCTATGACGGCTGGACCGAGCCCTTTGCCTTCCACATGCGTAAGTCCCTGTACGGCTTCTTCTGGAAGCAACCGGGCACGCTGGAAGTGGTGTCAGGTTGCACCGTGGACATGTTGCAGGCCGTGTATGGACTGGATGGCATCCGTCTGCGCCGCCGCCAATACTACACCATGCCCAACTTCCGACAGTATGAGAACCGCACAGGTCACATCCTAGTGCAGTGGTCTCTTGGCAGCCCCCTGCACTTTGCGGGCTGGCATTGCTCCTGGTGCTTCACACCCGAGGGCATCTACTTCAAGCTTGTGTCTGCTCAGAATGGCGACTTTCCACGCTGGGGTGACTATGAGGACAAGAGGGACCTCAACTACATCCGCAGCTTGATTCGCACTGGGGGCTGGTTCGACGGCACGCAGCAGGAGTACCCTCCTGCGGACCCCAGTGAACACATGTATGCTCCCAAATACCTGCTCAAGAACTATGACCAATTCCGCTACCTGTTGGACAACCCCTACCGGGAGCCAAAGAGCACTGTGGAGGATGGGCACCGGAACCTGGGCTCCGAGGGAAGGTTACCTGCTGCCAGGGGCAAGTTAGATGCAGTAGAGGGTTAGGGCTAGGCAGGCTGGGGTGACAGCTACCCCAGTGTTATCTCTGGCCTCTTGGGGGCTCTTGAGAGAGCTAGGAGTCCTTCTAGGTGGTTCTCTCTGCTCAAGCCCTCTGGAATTAAGGGTCAGGCCTTTTAGCCCAAAACAGAAAAGAAAAATTAATCATTTCCAGTAGAGAAGAGCAAGCCCAGACATCTATGCAGCATTTTGTCCCCAAGAGTGCTGTGGGCAAGAAGTGTCCCTGGAGAGCATAAGGTGGTTTTCTGGGGCTGGGAGGGCTGTGGAATTTCAGTCTAATTGAGAGAATTCCACCTTTGACATTCTGGATTATTGACCTGCAGAGGAAAAGGGGGTGGGAGATATGATATCAGGAGTTCCCAGGAAACTGTAAATAAATGCATTTGGGTTCAGGAACAAGAAAAGATACTTAGTAGGGAGGCACTAGAAAGTATATCTGCTCTTGATCGTGACCAAGAAGCTAGGGAAGCAATGGAAAATGGCACCCACGAGACAGAGCACTTTGCATCTTGCTCAGAAGTGCTGGACCCAAGGAATGAGGCTCCTGCTGGCTGGGAGGGTGGAGCCAATGGCTGTCAGTGTCCCTCCCTCTGTAAGCAGGCATACTGGGGGCCTGAGGAAGCTTCCTTTTGGTTCCAAATCTAGCTCTGATGGCCTTTTCACTTTTCCTATTACGGTCTCCTGGGATGCCAGCTCAGCTGCTTGCAAAGGGCCTTAGGAGTCCAGTGCTCAGGGTGGGACCGGAGCTGGAGACCACCATATGGATAGCCAGTATAGAGGTGGGAAGGGAAAGGAGACTGACGTAAGGCCTCTATGGCTCTCCCTCTCCCCTCCCCCATCACTTCCTACTGGCATCCAGTCCCATTATACTGCCATCCCAGGCTATTCCTGTGCCCCCTCCCCTCCACTGCCCCACTAAGAGCTCGTTAGGGGTCAGGAAGGGGCCACAAGGTTTTCTGGGGCCCAAGAAAGGACTTTAAGGTCAGTGGTATGTCAACCTATTCCTCTTAATTTGTCTTATGGGGGGGGGGGCACAGGGTATATTTGTTGAAGATTCTAAAATGATGTAGAAGCCCCTTGGCAAACAGCAGTCAAGTAAGACCACCTTGTTTCTAATGAAGTAGTCTAGGGGGAGATGATCCAGAGCCTGTAAGACAGCAAACTTAGCTTCATAAACAACTTCCAGGTCTGGATAGAGTGGCTGCATCCACTCACATGATAAGGCAAGGAAGGGTGAACTTTTTCCTATGAAGGGCAGGAGTCAAATATGTCTGTTGCTTCTGATAGCATCTTACTGGTCAGGACTTAGCTGCATGGCTACAGGTAGTTGCAAGGAAAACTGGGAAATGCAGTTTTGAGCGGGACTGCTATGTACCTGCCTCTGTTTGAGAGTTCTGTATTACCAGCAGCACCTTTGTGGGAAGGGTGCAAGTGATTGCTCATCATGGGACCCTGCTCTCTCCCTGCCTGCCCCACAGTTGAGGTCCTGTAGGGACTTGCAAGTGTATGGGAAGAGTGGGTGCCTCTCCCTGAGGCTCCTAATAGTCCCCTTGATGCCAGTATGCAGGACTGTCTGTGGAATGGTCAGTGTTTGTGCGTGTGTGTATATTTATGGGCATGGGTGCATGCTTGTGTGTATTGTACATGTCTGTATCCATGTGTCCCCTGTACTAAGATGATGTTCACACGTGGGTGTAGGAGCATAGGCTTGGCTGTCCTCTTCCCTAGGACCTGGAGCCCATAGTTTTGTCTCCTGTGGCTCCTCAAGATGCCTGAGGCAGGAAGCAAGGCTAACGGGATAACGGGAGTACAGGGTCTGTCTGTCTGTCTGTCTGTTTTTATTTTCAGACTGAGGAATGGAATCTTGCTAGCTGAGGGCTATGCAGCTGAGAACCCAGCACTCCCCCAGCCTCTCTTGGCCGACCACATCCTCCCACTGATACCCCAGAACCTCCTAGATGATCTCACTGGAGGCGTCCTGAGGTTTCCTTTGATGCAGCTCTGTCTGGAGCAGGTTTACTACTAGGCAGTGGGCATGGTGTGGGGAGCTCTGGTGAGCAGGCACGAAGCAGGCCGAGGGGCTCTATGGTCCCACTCCTCCTCCTGAGGGATACTTCCATGAAACTTTCCCTTCAAAGAACTTCCGTCTCTGGTTCCTCTTGGGACTGAGAGGTAGTCCCAGAAGTCAGGGCATCCCAGAGACTTATGGGTTCATCTGTGCCAAGGCACTCTTCTGAGATGCCTGTGGGTGTTCCTGTGTGATGCCTCCCCCTCAAATGAAATCCTCATCCCATACTCCTGGTAACCTTAGCTGCTTCATAGATACCCCATTTCAGGCATTTCAGGGTTCCTGCCCACAGGTGACCAGTGCAGAGGCACTGGGAAAGCACAGTTCCTACTGGGCTGGCCGTGTCTCTCAGACCAGTAGGGGAAAATAATGTAGCGGTTTCAGCCAGGCAGGAAGAGGTCTCGTCATGAGCTGAGAGACCACCTGTGAGAGATGAGGGCCAAAAAGTTTCACATCTAACCACAGCATACACTGGGAATTTGAGGGCCAGGGGACCCAGGACCATACCCTCAATATGGAGGGAAACTGAATTGAATGTGAATGTGGGTGCATTCTCCAGGAACCCCTGGCCTGTGACCTCCAGACCCAAGGAGGCCTGTTCATTACAGGCATCCAGCTGACCTTGTTCACCCAAGAGTCTCAGCGGTTATAGGGGGCAGGCATGATGATGCTTTGGGGGCAAAGGTGAGATTCAGGGTGGAAAGACAGGACTCATCCGAGCAGAAGGTAGGGCCCTGGGAAATGTGTAATTTAAGGACACCAATAATAATAATAATAGCATTATTTTTTTTGTAAAGGAAAATCAATATGTACATTCTGAAATCATTTTCTCTGTAAATGGTTGGATTTCATTTCACCCTTAAAGGGATGCTCAAAGAAGAAGATAATATTAATAATAAAAACAGCTGCGAAGTCTGGAGGCTATGTGTGTATGTGGCCGGTTTGTGGGTGCTCCTGGGCAGAGGTGGGTGTGAGCAGACAGCTCTGGTCTTGCTGCCAAGTCAGGACCCTGCATGGCATGAGGCCCTCACAAGGACTGGATGTGTAGGGAGAAGGAAAATGTATCCAGTCCCTTCACTTAGGGGTGTGGTCACCCCCAACTTGGGCGTGTGTTTCCTACCTGTGGGTGGAATTAGAGCTCTGTTCAGTGGGAGGAAGAAGGAAGCCTGTGTTCTAAAACTGGTGGCTCTTCTTCTGGGGTCAGGAGGACCCTCTAGGGATCCAGGTAAGAGCACTGGTGGTAACACACACAGTTCTGCTTGGAGTATTAGATAGCATTTGGGTTCCCCTCACACCTGTGTCTGTCAAAGGTTCTCTCAATGCCTCAGCCATGATCACACATGGCTGCCTACGTTCTGGACCTTGGGGATGACAAGTGACCTCTTGTTTGGGAATGGCCACCTCTGTCCTTGGGTGCTACAATAGTCCCTGAAGCCTTGGAGTACAGAGCCTCTTGTCCCTAGCAGGGCCCTAAGGACAGTCTCAGAGACGGCAGATCAGACTCTTAAGTGTTGCCTGGGTCTTCTATGGGACAGCTGTGTAACCTCCACATCAGACTGAAGGTCCAGAAGCCAGAGGGTGACATCAGTGTTAGTGGCCTGACCTGGGACGCGAACTGCCCAGGTCTCGGCCCATACTCACAAAGTCCAAAAGGAGCTTGGGATAGGGTGGAAAGTGAATTCTGTAGACCCTAAGATGTGAAGATGAAGTTGCACCAGCCTGGCCAGAAGAGGGCGACAGCGACCCACTTGCCATTAAAGTTTTAACAATTCTAGTTGGGGTGTATCCTCATTACCATCAATATTTACAAATAATACATGTATTTTCAGGTATTGCTTATTAAATAATTAAACATTTTCAGTCAAATTCTAGAGTGGAAAAACCGCTCCACGGTACCCATTTGACAAATGTGGTAAACGAAACTGACACCTCACACCTGCCTCACACATCAGGGCCGCACGGGCAAGTTCAAGATCACCTGTGGTCAGAGGCCGATGTCACCGCGAGGCTGCACTTCCTGCGCATCGGCAGGCTGAGGAGGAAGTCAGGCAAGAGACAAAGGAGAAGATGGGTACTGTGACCTAGCAAAAGCTGCCAAGCCAAGTCAGGCATGGGTCCAGGCCAGGGGACACAGGAGACAGGAGAGTGCCAACCCTGACTGGCGAGGTGAGGGCTGGGGTGCAGGTGTCGCATCCCAGCAACTACACTGTGCTGTGTCCTCCTTGATGGCTGTCTGGGTAGGTGTGGGTACCGGCAGGCTCTGGGACCCCAGGTCCGGGTGCTCTTTGTCTCTAGCCTCTAAACACGAGGCAGACAATGCTTTAGTGCAGAAAGGGGTTTGGTGATCCCTGTAAACCTTCATCCAGAGAGGAGAGCTGAGAGCCACCTTGACAACAGCTGTCAGATTCACCAGTGAAATGCCAAGGGACTGGCAAGGGACTGAGAGGTGACTCAGTGGTAGAGTGAGTATTGTTCTCCCAGGGGACCCGGGTTTGGTTCCCAGCACCCATATCCAGTGGTGGTGACCAGCTTTGTGGGATCCAAGGCTACTGACTTCCTAAGGTATTCATGCGTGTCCACAAACCCCTACACAGACACACATCCATAATTAAGCTTAAAAATAAATTCTGGGACTGGAGAGATGGCTCAGCAATTAAGAATTCTTGCTGGTCTTTGATAATAGACTAGAGTTTGGTTCCTAGTAATTCAGGCAACTTACACACACTTGTGACTCCAGCTCCAGGTGACCTAATATCCTCTTCTGGCCTGTGGATATGCATAAACACACCCCACATGTACATAAATAAAAATAAGGATTGTTTTTGAGACAGGATCCTACTTTGTAGTCCTGGCTGTCCTGGAACTTCCCTTGTAAAACAGGTTGGCCTTGAACTCACAGAGATCCACCTGCCTCTCCCTCCCAAGTACTGGAATTAAAGACATGCACTGCCATACTTGTATAAAAAAATTAAATCTTAAACAACAGCAACAACAAAACACTTCCAGCCAGGTATGACCTCAGGGCCTCAGAAACCTGAGATTCTGAAAGCCTGTAACCTCTAGAGCTCTTGGGGAGCCCCTTCACTGTACCTACAAACGTTTAATCAAAGCACAAGTCGGTAAAAGGGCCTGTCTAGGTCTGGCCTGCTCACCAGCATCTTTAGCCTCAGTTACTCTGATAAATTCCAAGAGACTCATTTATAGCAAAAAGTTAATTCCTTTTTATTATAAAATGCCACACACCTTTAATCTCAGTACTTGAGAGGCCAAAGCAGGTAGGTGTCTATGAGCATGACGCTAGCCTGGTGTACAAAGTAAACCATGTCAATCCTCCCCATCAGTGAAACAAAACAACTCACCCCACCAAAAGCCAAAAACAAAACAAGACACACGACTGCATGGGCAAGCCCAAACCCCAGCTGCACCCTGGCCCAGCCTCCTGAGCTCACTTATTTAAGCCACTGAGCTATGAGGTTCTCTGATTAAGTTCAATTAGACTTGGAAGCGACTGATAACATTTTGTTTTTAGTAAACGACAGAAAAGTAAACCCGAACTACAAAGGCAGAGAAGGAATTTGCTGACTTCTTGACAGTCAAGATCCAGGTGATGCCTGCCTTCCATGCTGCCTGAGGTACAAGTCGTTACCACAGCGCCGTTTGACTCTATAACTCGCTGAACTTTCCAGCTTCTGGGTCCCCATTAGTCAGGCTTTTGAGTTAGTGACGAGCAGCTCCAACCTTCACAGGCTCCTTTCTTCAGACTCAGCGCAGAAGAAACTTCCCTTTCCTTTAGAGTCCTGAAACTTGTCCCGGGCAGTGATGGCACACACCTTTAATCCCAGCACTTGGGAGACAGAGACAGGTGGATCTCTGTGAGTTGAGCGCATTCCAGGACAGGCTCTAAAGCTACACAGAGAAACCTTGTCTCAAAAAAAAAAAAAAAAAAAAAAAAAAAAAAAAAAAAAAAAAAGTCATGAGCCTGGGGACTGAGTTCAAATGCCCAGCACCCACCTTTTTTTTTTTTCAAAAAAAAAAAAAAAAAGAGCACAGTAGCACATACCTATAATCCTAGTACTGGGGAGGCAGAGACAGGATGGTCCCTGGAGCTCACTGGCCAGGAAGTCTAGATCATGGGTGAGATTCAGGTTCTGTGAGAGACCCTGTCTCAAAACTTAAGGTGGAGAGTGACTGAGGAATCCATTGGATGGATGTCAACCTCGGCCTGTTTGTTTACACACTTGAATGAATTTACTTGTGAGCACACACACTGGCGTGCATATGCACACAGTCTTGGGCTTGAACTGGGCATGGTGGTGCATTCTGATGATCCCAGCATTTGGGAGGCAGAGGTAGGAAAACTATCATAAGTTCGAGGCCATCCTGATCTATGTGCTGAGTTCGAGGCTAGCCAAGACTATATTAGATTCTCAAAATAAACAAAGTCAGGGGCCTAGAGAGATGACTCGGGTTAAGAGCACTGGCTGCTCTTCAGAGGGTCTGGGTTTGATGCCTAGCACCCATAAATTACCACGACTGTCTATAGCTCCAGTTTCAGGGGACTTAGTATTCTTTTTTTGGCTTCTGTGGGCACCAATACAAGTGTGCAGTGTCCTTACTTATATGCAGGCAAAAAACTCATAAGATTATTTTATTTATTTATTTGGTTTTTAGAGGTAGGGTTTCTCTGTGGAGCCTGTCCTGGAACTCGCTCTTTTAGACCAGGCTGGCCTCGAACCCACAGAGATCCACTTGCCTCTGCCTCCTGAGTGCTGGAATTAAAGGCATGTACCACCACTGCCCGACAAAATTATTTTTAAAAATCTTAAAATTTTTTAATTAAAGAATATAAATCTGGGAGGTGGTGTTGAGTGCCTTTAATCCCAGCACTTGGGAGGCAGAGGCAGGTGGGTCTCTGAATTTGAGGCTAGCCTGGTCTACAGAGTGAGTTCCAGGACAGCCAGGGTTACACAGAGAAACCTTATCTTTAAAAACCAAAAACCAGAACCTAAACCAACCAAAAAACAAAAAAGAATAAACAAGCTATTGAGCCTAGATCTCATTGGCTCCTATTAGGTATGATGAACATCCTTGAGCAGATCTGGGGTGTTTGAACGGACTCTCAGATCAGTTTAGATTCTTAGGTCAGTCAGCATTCAGTCTATACCAGCCAAGAAAGAGAAAGGATAGTTTCCTGAAAGTAATGAGGACAATATGTCACCCTTGGCACCCCAGCTGTCCTTGTCCAAGCCTTCCTCAAACCCGTCTGAAGATCCTCGTCTGTCAAATGGGGTTTTTGTACTGCAGCCCTCCAGCGGCAGTGGGCGGGTGTGTGGAGTTTGCCGCAGAGCCTGAGCTTGGTGGGAGTTTGTAAACACCTTGACCCTGACCCTGTCTCCCTCCTCCTCCTCCTCTGATGTGGGATACACACGCATGGGTCATGCATCTCTTCCGGCGGCTTCTTGCCTCCACCTCCATGACTCATCTGACTCATGGTTCTCTGCCTCTTCCTTCTTCCTCACTGTCCTTCTGGCCTCATTTTCTCCCCAGGCATCTTGTCAGCTCTGCCTGGGGATCTCAATACCCACCAAGGTGGAGCCGGTCGCCCCTCTCCAGGGTGTCCTCTCGGCTGAGCACCAGCTCACTGTCCAGCTACCTGTTAGAAGGGCCCAAGGCGTCAAGGTCTCCTCAGATGCCACAGGGCCAGTGTGGAATTTAGCCTCCCTCTGAGAGTTCTTTCCTGTTCTCCCCATCCTGCTCCTGACTTCTCATCTATCCAGTGACATCAGTTGGAAATCTGGGCCGTGTCTTGGGGTGCCCCTCCCCAGCAATAGGGTACTGCAATGACTCTTATGTACCTGGGACAGATATGAGGTTAGCTTGAACTTCCTGTGACCCTGTCTGAAAAAACAAAAATAAAAC